AATACTTAACATCAGTTTCAACAACAGCTACTATGCTACTGAATATACTCTTCTTAAATATTAATTTTAACACTAACAAATTAAAATTGAACAATAGCATGTAGCTATCTTGTCAAAATGAAGTCAAGTAAATTGTATAAAATAAAATAAAGAGTCACAAATCTGATTAATCTGAAAATTTTTGCTAATTTGAGATTATTAGTATCAGCCAACAATCTTGACATATATAATCTTGAGTATATATATATTGATAAATATACTGGTCATTCTGCCCTCCATAAATTGCCATGAGCCATTAAATAACCCATGTTGGCTGACCACTAGCTATAAGGCCACATGTATGGTACATCTACATCCGCACTGTGCGTATTCCGGTTTGGAGTTGGGACAAGGGCCCCTGATGGCCCAGTGCTTGAGCAGGTGCAGTGCGTGCACGTGGTCTCTCGGGGGAGTGCAGGGCCTAACGCGGTAAACACGGGACCTATTTAAAGCAAGCAGACCTCTCTCTCTGGCTCCGCTGGCCTCCGCTAGCTGTGTTTCCACAATACCGCACGGCCCCTCGGGACCCCGCTTGCCAGCCACACTGTACCAGTCTCCCCTCCTCTACAGACCCAGCACCCAATGCTCGTGCACCCAGACACACAAAAAGAAAGAAAGAAAAAGAAAAAAAAAAAGAAAGAGTTGGAGATGATGAAAGAGCGCATCATGGAAGGATGGGAATTAAATCACAAAAACACACAAACAGTCGTACAGCTGCTCACCGATGCCATCACCTGTTCCAGCCCGTGGTTCCGCAAGTCGACAAGCGAACCTCGCGTACACACTACGACGCAGAAATATACACGCGCGGTGACATGCTAATGCATACACACACAGAGACACACACCTCCTCTTCACACATTAAAACTGTTTTCCTGTCGCTGCCTTGGGGAAATTAAAAATATATTATGGACCTCCAGAGGTTCGTGCAAGGAGATGAAGAAAAATAGAGAGGGACACAAATGAGAGAGCGAGACAGACATAAACGGAGAGAGAGGAAGACACACAAAAGCACTTGAGGGATAGAGAGATGGATCTCTTGGTTGTGTCCTCTTTTCTAAACTGCCCACTGCATCATGGAGAAAGAAGGCCATTTTGGGGCTGCGATGTAGCCGACGGTCATCATCGCTCGCTCCTGTCCTCCTCCCACCCTCCCCTCCTCTCATCCCTCGTTCCCAGCCAACAAACGGAGAATACATGGCTGAATCCAGCTCAGGTTAGATTCCAGAGGGGACAGAGCATGTGCAGGGGCCAGGAGACTGACTGATATTTCACTCTGTGTGCATCTAACAGATCTCGCCAGTCCTCTGGTTCTCAACAGTTGCCTCAGTAGGACCCAGAGGTGGACAGTAACTAAGTACATTTACTTGAGTATTGTACCCCCATAGGGTTTTAACATTCTAAAAGCTCTTTATTCCAAAGATACTACAAGCTAGTCAGTGTATTCAGTAGGTGTAATGTATTGTAAGTTGCTTCAGAAGTATTGCGAGTATTACTGGTACATACAACAATAATAAAACAGTGCATTGACATAAAAAAGGAAATTTACTTTTAAAAGCAAGTACTTCTGTACTTTTACTCAAGTAAAAATCTGTCTTTACAACTTTTACTTGTAATAGAGTAATATTTGACCAGCAGTATCTGTACTTTCACTCAAGTAATGGAGTTGAGTATTTTGTCCGCCTCTGGTAGGACCAAACAAAAAATGGTCAGTTATGAGCCAAACCGAACTACTGCTTGCCTAATTGGGCTAATGTTGTGTAGTAAGTGATTCAAATATGTCAGCAAGATTGTTACAGAGCTGGTTCTAGCAAATCTGTATGAATGAATTGAGATAGGCTTGAAAGCATCAAACAAATCAATGTAAATATTTTACACCTTATACCATCATTTTCTAGAGAAATTGGGGAGAAAATAAATGCTTTCATGGAGTTGTAAAATAAAAAAAAGTTACAAATTTGTAAAAAAAAAAAAATAATAATTTATTATTATTACTGTTGACTGACTGAAATTAATAAATATTTTAGCTGCATTTATTTGATTAAAAAATACAGTAAAAACAGTACTATTGGTAAATGTTATCACAATTTACTTGTTTTCTAAATTAAATTCAAATTTTAGAACTTTTTTTAGAACATAGAACTTAGTTCTATGTTTTTACAGGAATTTGATGAATATAAAGTTCAAAATAACAGCATTTATTTTAACTTTATTTGAATTTTTTGTAACAAAGTCTTAGCTGTGACTTATTTTATTTTTTATTTTTTTTGTAACAACGTCTTAGCTGTCACTTATTATTGTATTAATGTATCTATCCTCTTAAGAAAATCTCTTACTGATGGCAAACTTTTGGGGAATGTAAAAAAATATAAATAAATAAAAAACAAGGTAACAATAATCTGACTTTAATTGAAGTGTTGAGACCCTTCAGGAACACATTTCATGTAAACGCTCCTCAAGAAAGGCATCTGACTAAGATCAGGCCTTTCCTTAACACTGATTAGTCAGTTTAAAAAAGTCTGATTTCTTGTTTAATATACATTTAAACTGGATGAAATGAAAATTTGTAGGCAGGTAACAATCTGAACTTCTGGCCCAACCAAGCCTCCAAAAACAGCTCTGCTCTGTACTGCACTGACTGCAGCACATACCTTTCTTTCTCCCTCTTTCATTCTGGCCTCGACAAAAGTTTAACGTGTGCCGAGTTTGACAGCATAGGCTATTAAGAGGGTCATAAATAGGCCTGGTTCGGTGCCCCGCTGCCAAATAAAACCAGAACACAACAGCTCCCTTTCTGCCTGAGGAATACACAGGTGACCAAAAAGCTCACATTTACGGGTGAGGTCACAATGACTCGCCCAGTGTGGGTGAGACCGAGGGAGAGCAGACAGAGCCATCCGATTGGCTGCGTTGAGAGGTCCTGCCGGCCCACCAATAGCTGAGGGAGGAAATTAATAAAATAATTCAATTCAAGACCATTACAGCCCCTATCGGCCAGCGCACAGGGATATGAGCAGCCTTTTTCCACAATGAATCATAGTCGGGGACACGCACACAAATTGGGTGCTTGTGTGCGTCGATGTGTGTGTGAGTAATAATGTACCTGATCCCTGCAAGTGTGCGTCAGACGATGTCCTATATGTTGACAAGTGTCAGACCTGGCTCATTTTCTCTCTTTTCTCCTTTCCTTCTCTTCTTCCCCTCTGGGCCAGGGAGGGACGGGTTGTTTTTCTATCTCAGGGAGCATGGGGGGGGGGACGAAGTGAATTTAATACCAGGAAAAGCCTGCCAGTGTCCTTGTCGACATCATCTCCTAGGGAATAAAAGGAAGGAAGGTTTTTTTATCTTTTTAAATAAGAGATGGCGAGCGGCCTCCTGAGCCCCAGCACAGCAGCACAAACAAACACGGGAGAGAGTATGGATAGGGGGAAGGGATTGAGAGAAAGAAGGAAAAAAAGGGAGACAAAGAAGAAAGAGAAAGGAAGAAAGAGGAGGTGATGCAGAATGCGACCAAGTCCACCCGGAACAGAGGTGGAAAAAAAAGGCTGATTAGTGCGAGCAAATGTGCAGGGAGGCAGAGCGGAGGGTTTAGCGAGAGCCCTGGGACTCCCCTTCCTGCTGTATCTCACACACGCAGCACATTGCAGCCACCCAGGACCTCAGTCAGCACCCCTGCAGCACTCCCTCAGGGCCGGTTAGGAGGGGCCCACGTCATCCCCTCAGGCCCCTGGGGGCCGCTCTCTCCTACTCCCTTCTCTCTGCTGAGCTCACCAGGATGAAACACGCACATACACACACTTACAAAAGCACAAACACACTCTCCATATCTGACTTCAGTGATTTTAATACCCTTATGACCAATAAGATTCCAATAAAAGCTATATATTATTTTACTTAGGCCTTTTTAGACATGTTTATTGATAGGGATACTAGAGGGACGACAGGAAATGATGGGGAGAAGGGGGAACGGGTCCGGGAAATGGCCTCAATTGCATATCGATAAGATTAGATCCCATAAAGATTCATCCAGTGGGGAAAAAAATATATATTTTTGTGTTTTTCTGCATTTTGAAGTCTTAAAGTGCAGTCACATTTACTGTTGCTCAAACAATATTTCCTAGACGTAATCCAGTCGATAGTAATCCACATGATCTGGAGTTAGATCGCAACTTTAAAATGATCATGAAATCTATTTATCTTCTAAATACACTTTCCTGCATAAAAAAGTTTGCCTTTGTAATATTTCATTAAAATAACTTAAAACAAGCTTACTTTTTGGCTGTCAACACCCCCTCCTGCCACTAACCTGTCATATAGAAACAACTTTTCACAATCCAATCAAATCTCAACAGGTGAATGCTATCACATCCCACCCTACTGTATCCTGTATCTTTCAGTGCAAGGACTAATTTATTCATAATCCAAAAAAAAAAATGCATAGCTCTGTAGTTTGTTGGATAACATGCAGTCCAAAAAAGCAGCTCGGTTGATGCTGTGGTAATATTTTCACGCTCCCGTCCCATCCAAATCCGTACAGATGCGTCTCCTCGTTTGAAAACGCTCGAGTAGTGAAAAGGGCTTCTGAGGTAATAGGTTGAAAAGCAAAATCTAATATTCAGAAAGATGTACGATCTAAAACAGCCTGCTTGGATTTTGCCAGATAGAAATTTTCCTCTTCAGAGAGGAGGTGTAATCAAACTCGTCAAGTCGTGCGATATTACATTCTGAGTGTGGCAAAGTGCCTTTATGTTCAGACAAGAAGCGCCTCTAAGCCTCCAGTCCAACATGCACCTAGACGCCATCCTCTTGTGTCTTATGAAACCCTCCTTTCCTCCCTCCCTCTGTGCGCAGGGCAGCAGGCCATGTGGAATTGATATTAGCAATTGTGATGCAGCAGGTCGTCTACGAGGGCGCAGGGGGTTGGATGTATCGTGCAGGACGCCATGCTAGCGAAATCATACCTGTATGTACAGAGGAGTCCCAACCACTGGCGCACTCTGTAGATTCGGCCTCTTCCACCGCTACCGAAAAAAAGAGAGAGCGTATTAGAGCGTTTGTGTAGCCAAACCACACATTTCAGGCACACAAACATTTTCGGCATTCTTCTCAGAAGCACGCCACATAAATGGCGGCCCATCGTGAGCCTATGATGTGTTCGATCTGATTGTTGGATGCACATCAAAGGGCTTTATTGTGTGTATGTGCTCTTTGTTTGTCTATGTGCTAATTTTGGAGGTGCAAAAACAGGTAACGGGAGGCAGTGAGATGAGAGGAGGTATGTGTGATGAAGGTTTTCCTGGGCATAGTCAAGGAAGGAAGCCCCACTGGCACACAAACAGGAAGCAGCAGTGTTCAGGACACAATAAGAACTTGGACCACCCCCCACAGCCTCACCACCATAAACACACACACACACACACACACACACACACACATTACTGGTCTCTACAAAACTCCCCGTAGCCTGGAAGCACTTTGGCACACAGTCTAGAATGGAAACACACACTGTAACTTTTCAACAACAAACACAGTCAGTAATTTGTGTAACCTCTCCACATTAGAGGCATCAGTGCATGAAGGAATATGTAGAGTAATTTATAACAGCACTTTTTCAGCATGAATGGACTATTAAGTGTAGAAGTCTTCACACTTGGTGAACAATGTCCATGAAGATAAGGAACAAAAAGCAGGAAAGATAAACATCAATGATGAGGTTCAAAAAGGGCTAAGACATAATTATGTTATCAAACTAACCACATGAGTATTTAAAGCGTTAATTAAGCCAAAATTAAACTTATGTTATTATTTACTCACTCTCGTGTTGTTTCAAACCCTTGAGTTTTTTTGAAATTCAATAGGGATTGGAGCAGTCAAGCTTTAAAATAAAATAAAATACACACTGCTCTTTTTCAGTTATAATAAAAGTAAATAGGGATTGGAGCAGTCAAGCTTAAAAATAAAATAAAATAAACAATGAAATATATATATAAAATATGAAAAATAAAAATAAAATAAAATAAAACATTCTGCCTAATATCACTTAAGTCACTTTCGCCTTCAGTCTCTGCTAAATAGATGTAAATGCAATTTTTTTCTTTTGTTCACAGGAGAATGAATGTCATACAAGTTTACACTAATATGAGAGTGAGTAAATGATAGATGTTTATTATTTGAGTGAACTGTTCCTTTAAATAGAGTTCATGTGAGAAAAGAAACAAAAGTGGGAACAAGAAAGAGAGAGAGCCAGAGAAAGCACGAGAGAGAGACTGAATCTGCTCTGTGTAAAGGAAATTGTGGTTAGATATGCTCCCACTGGCATTGGGCATCACTGCAGTCTCACTAAACCCACTTTCTCTTAGGAAAAGACTCTCAGAGAAAGCGGGAAAAAATGAGAGACAAAAGGAGAGAAAGACAGGGAGGTGAGGGAGAGAGAGAGAGTAAGGCACAAACTACACTGTCCCTAACAGCCATACTGCATTCCTTCCACATTATCAGTTCCTTAATTACACGCAGACTCTCTTTTCCTCTGAAAAACACACACACACACCACTGCAGAAAGTGCTGTCTGGGCCACCGTACACCGTCCTCGCTGAAGCTGCTCCCAGCAGGGTGGTCAGTGTGAACTCGACTCCACTACCATCTCCCTATTCCATATTCTACTCCCAAGCCAAGGCCCACAGGCCCCTGTTTTCCCTCTCAGTGCTGTGGAATATCAGGACCGCAAATGCTTCAGGCAGGAGTTCCAGCGCAAAGCCTGCCGTCAAGGCCCGAGGAGCCGAGCCAGGTCAGAATGACTGGCCTGTTACCGGACGCCAATCGTTTGAGCCCAGAAACAACAGAAGGCCTTTGCTAACAGGACACTGAGGTCTTCTCTTCCACTCCTTTCAAAGTCAAGGGATACGTCACACCTCTCTGCCTTTCTCTTGTCCTTTGTTTAAGTCTCTCACATTTTCCCCCCCATTACTCAAATTCCCACTCTAAAATGACATTTGGCTGGATTTTTGCTTCTGTTTATTCTTGTTCCAGACTTGGAGGCAGTGTTGAGTAGAACTGGAATACATGTAATTCATAAACAGATTACAAAAATCAAGTGGTTGGGTCAGTCACAAAATATGGTGGGCATATATGGTGTCCCTCAAGTGTTGTCGCATAAACAGATTAAAAAATTACAATTCATAATCAGACTACAAAAATCAAGTGCTTGGGTCTTTCACAAAATGTGGTGATATAGTGTCCCTTGAGTGTTCTCTAATGAAAAACAGCTTTAAAATGTTCAAGAAAGCCCATATAAAAATGTATCATTGTGTAACCTGGAAAATTATGTAAATGAAAACAAATAAAATAAGACGATTTTAATGTATTGTTTTTTTCACATTAAATAATAATAATTATGGTGCTTACTATTGCTCATGCTCAAGTATTCTTCTTCTTATTATTATTATTAAAAACATATAACTACTAAATTTACAGCTATTTATTTATTTAAATTCAGTTTGTTTTCCCAGGTTAAACATTAGTTCAAGTTCTAACAAGTGTGCAAACAAAGCAAAACTAAATAATAATATAAATATTTTTAAATAGTTTATTTAGTATAATGAACTATACATTTTAATAGACATAAAATAAAATAAAATGTAATTTAATTAAAAATAAAAAAAATAAAACTTGTGAGAACATTTAAATCAGTTTCTGTCACAATTTATATTCTTTATGTAATTTTATAGAGTTATTTAGTATTTATTTACATTTTTTTATTTTAAATCTTATGATTCTGAGTGGATCTTGGGTGTTATAAATAAAGAATGAAAACACTGCAAATCAGAAAGTCTAAAAGGATTTTAAAAATTACACATTTGTAATTACCAACTGAGTATATTACATTGCAAAATACACTTGTGTGATTTAAATATTGAGTACTTGTCAGACTAAACAATAAATTGGTTTGTAATTCACAAATGAATATGACTGCAGCCAGGCAGCATCTTACCTTGCACATTTAGCACAGCGCAACTCATGTCATTTGTAATCAGGATGGCGGGGGAGGGTTCAACCAGAATACAATCATGGTGGGGCCAGTGATGAACATTTTATACCGAGCCCAGCAATTGCTTACTGTGGCCCTGATCAGGATAAAATCAGAATGCATCTACCCAGCTTAGATGCTCTCCTACTCTTCTCTGACCATCTCTTCCCTTCACTGTAAGTTTGTTTTTGTGTGTTCTTTCTCTGTTCACAGAATAGTTTCTCTCCCGGCCTAAGTCGCTTGGATGCGGTGCTGTACTGTTTATCAGGGGAGATATCATGCTGCTTTTTCTAGTCAGATCTTGCTCTCTTGTTCTCCACTGTGCAGGGCTGGGCTTCTCTCCCCCTGGCTTTATGGTATGCTCCCGGTAGTCTGTAAGATCCACTATGAGTGCTGCTACTCATACAACAAAACCGCACACACTTACAAACACATGCACAGAAAGTACAGTATCTCTCCAGAAACCCAACCTACACTGCAGGTGCTAAGTACACTCAAGACACCCACACAAAACTTCTACCTTCCTTAAGAAGAGATAATTAGTGGTGATTACTTGCTTATATTCATGGTTGGAGATTTACACAAACCCCTAACCCTAAGTATTAAAGGGATAGTTCACCTCTATGCATATCATCTGTGTAAAATGATATTTTGAAAAAGCAGCAGTTTTTGTCCAAAAAGTCAAAATTTCCCTTCTGAAATGTATATTAAAAAAAGATGAAACATTCAAATATTGTCTTTTGTGTTCCACAGCGAGCAACTAATACTGTAACATTTGTGCTATAGACATTAAAGATACCTGAAATTCTGTGGCTCCTTGAAGAGAGGTGTTAGGGCTGCACAAAATGCTGATTTTTCTGCAATTAAAAGTTTTTTTTGTTTTTTTTTAAAGCTCTTCTTTTAAAGTTTAATGTGCTTGTTTGTATGCCTGCACAACATGGCCAAAATAATGAATTAATTATCAACATGACATTAAAATAGTAATTATTATTACAATTAATAATAATTATTATTATACTAATTATTTTAAAGTTTTATCATTTTATATAAGAATTAGTTGTGTCAAAATTAGCTCGTTAACGCAGGCGATTAATTTTTTCAGTTTAGCGCGTTAAAAATATTTAATGCAATTAACGCAGGGGCGGGGCTAGGGTTGGCCACCCCACTCACAACTGCTGCATCTGTCACTTTTTCTCTTGACAAGAAGTGCATTTATTCAGTCGCAGAACGACTGAGAACGGGAGACGTTTCAGCGTGCTCCTCTTCACTTCAGCGCCAGGTGCGAGTCAAGCGAGCGCGGAAACGGTACTGTGCTCGCAGCGCGTGCTCTTCAATTGCACGCACAAAGGCGGCTGCGCGCGCTGTAGCCTGTATCCTTTCATATCAAAGCGCGAAATAAACTAATATATTTTATATGAGTCACATTTAAGAACATGTCTCTGAAATGGTTTTCAAAACTGTCCTGGAGCAGCCCAGCACTGTCACTCATCTAACACACCCAATTTAACTAGTCAGCTCATTAATAGAGACGTTAAGACCTGAAGTGGGTCAGAAAAGGTAAAAAGAGTTGAGAGAAAATATGATGAAAGAAATAACAGCCAAAAAACATCATAACCAGCTGCTGTGATGTCTATTAATCAAAGGACAAAGAACAAAAGAGGAAAACATAACTTTTATAGCTTTAAGGGTTCATCTATATTTAATTTAGAATTTAGTGTTTGATAACTTCAATTTCA